CTTCTGTTGAGGATTTCAATTTGAATCCTTATTGTGGGGGGGATTCAATAGGCATCCTTTTTGTGGAGGTGTTCACTAGGAATCCTTCTGTGAAGTGTTTGAGTAGGACTCGCCAGCGCAATGTCAACGCAATGCCAACGCACTGCTCACGCACTGCCATCGCAATGCCAATGCGATGCCAAAGCGTTACCAAACCAATGCCAATGCAATGCCGATGGCGGGATTCCTGTCTTCCTACAGATTCCACTAGGAATCCTTATGTGGATGATTTGGTTACGAATCCTTCTTCGGAGGATTTCGATTGGAATCCTCCCGTGGAGGGTTTCGATTGGAATCCTTCTGTGGGGGGGGTCCCTTTGAATCCTTCATGTGGGAACTTTCAAAAGGATCCCTTCTTGTGCAAGGTTTTCATAGGAGTCCGTCTGCGGAGGGAGCCATTAGGACTCGCCAGCGCAATGCCAACGCAATACCAACGCAATGCCAAACCAATGCCAAAGCGATCCCAATTCAATGCCAGCCCTCGGTCGACGACGTCGATCGAGGATCGGGCGAAGACCGATCGATCGATCGGGACACAGGAGCGACATGCGGCCGGCGCCACGTAAGGCCCAGCGCGGGCGCGAGGGCGGGCGTCGGCGGCGAGCGAGGGGGGGGAGTGAGCAGGAGAAGGCTCTTTCACAAGGCGGCGGGGCTTCTCGGAAGCCCTCGCGCCTGCTGAGAGGCTTTTGTTTCTGTCCTCGGGGAAGGCTCAGAAGACCCTGAGCCCGAGCAGGTTGCAGCTTCCTGCGGACGCGCTTTTGCTTCCGCCGCCTGCCCCGAGCCTTCTGGGAAGGCCCGCCCCTCCTCCCTGCCCCCCCCCCCAACGCTCGCCGCCGACGGGAGGGTGGAGCCACGCGCACGGCCGGGCGCGCGCGTGGAGCAGCACGTGGAGGCCGCGCGCGGGACGCCCGTGCGGAGGCTCGGCGCAGCCCGGCACACGAGGGCCGGGCGCTGGAGAGAGGCGTGGCCGGGTGGCGGGCTCGGGGAGCCCTGGGACCCGAGCAGGCTCCAGCCCTTTTCTCGGGGACGCATCCTTACTCCCGCCGCCCTCCGCCAGCCTTCCGCCGGCCCTGCGCCGGCGGCGCTGCCTGCCTCTTCCACTCCGCGAACATCCGCCGCCGCTCCATCGCCTTCCGCCGAGAGAGAGAGAGATGCCAACTCCCTCGATCTTCGAAGGCGAGGCCTTTTCTGGAACGCCCGACGTGTGTAGCCAGCTCTCGCCAAAAAAGGCTTCCGCCTTAGATACGTGCGCAACGAGAGGGGCTGGGCGCTCCTGGTACGCCTGTGCCGTTTCTCGCTCTCCGACCCCCAGGCCCCCCGGCTGGGGGCACGGGAGCCACAGCCCCTCCAGGTAGAGGAATCATGAGAAGAAGAGAGGGGTGAAAAAGAAACACAAAAACAGATAAATTCAATACACATTAACTTTGGGAGCTCCTCGCGGATTCCTCGGATCGGTGCTCAACCTCCTCTCAGGCGCACCTCTGGCGACGGGGGCGGCGCGAGAGGCGCCGCCAGGGCCGGGGCCAGCGCCTAGCCCCAGGAGACCAGCGCGGACCTCCGAAACCTCGTGCTTATGCCGCTGGCTCCTCTTCGAGAGGCCTCCTGGAGGAGGTCCGAGTCGATGGGGTCGGAGAATCGCGCCGCATCGCCGATGCATCGCCTCGGCGATGCTGAAGGGGCCCTGGGACACACAAATAAATAGGCACAAAAAACAGGATTCCCCACATTCCCCAGATCTCCTGGGTTTTTGTCTTCCCCCCCACTTCCCATATTCTCCCATATTTTCTGGGAACCGACGATTCATTGTGTCTGCGTATTTTCCCCTCCTGAGATGCATCGGCGCCGTCGGCGTGGCGAAGATCGGGCCCAGCCTCGATGGGCGGCGCGCAGCCTCGATGGGCGACGCGAGCGGGGCGGCCTCCTGAGAGAAGGCGCGGGGGAGCTGCAGAGAGGGCACGGGGCGTCCCAGAGGCGCCCCTGGCGGCTTCTAAAGAAGCCTTCTTGGAAGCCTCCAGGCCCTCCTAACGAGGAGGGGGAGGAGGAGGAGGAGGAGGAGGAGGAGGAGGAGGAGGAGGAGGAGGAGAGGGGAGGAGGAGGAGGAGGAGGAGGTGAGGAGGGATGTGGAGGAGGGAGGAGGAGGAGGAGAGGGGAGGAGGCGAGGAGGAGGAGGGGAGGAGGAGGAGGAGGAGGAGGGGGAGGAGGAGGAGGAGGAGGAGGAGGAGGAGAGGAAGGGGAGGAGGAGGAGGAGGAGGAGGAGGAGGAGGAGGAGGAAGGAGGAGGAGGAGGAGAGGAGGAGGAGGAGGAGGAGGAGGAGAGGTGAGGGGGAGGAGGAGGAGGAGGAGGAGGAGGAGGAGGAGGAGGAGGAGGAGGAGGAGGAGAGGAGGAGGAGGAGGGGGGAAGGGGGGGGAGGGGGAGGGGGAGGGGGAGTGGGAGGGTGGAGGGGGGGAACGAGGAGGAGGAGGAGGAGGAGGAGGAGGAGGAGGAGGAGGAGGAGGAGGAGGAGGAGGAGGAGGAGGAGGAGGAGGGGGAGGGGGGGGGGGAGGGGAGGAGGAGGAGGAGGAGGAGGAGGAGGGAGGAGGAGGAGGAGGAGGAGGAGAGCTCCGAGCCGATTCGATCAGCAATGACCCCGCGGCCCGAAACTGGGCGAGGACGAGCAGGCCTGGCGCGACAGAACTGCCACGCGCCTGGATCTCAGGGGCTGCCACAGGTGCCCGACTAAGTCGGCGCCGGCGGCTTTGCCGTTCGCCCGCTGATCCGAAGTCAGGGCGCCCTCGACCTGCACCTTCCACGCCTTCCGCGCGGAAGGTGCAACAGGTGAAGGCCGAGGGCGGCCCACCCCAGGGGCCTCCGGCCGAGCAGGTCGCTCGCCCGAGCCCGCCGCCAGCGCGAGCAGGGCCGCCAGCTCGTCGGGCAACGCCCTGCTGGGCTCCGCCTCGGCCACGGAGGGGCAGCGATCGGTCGGCAGCGGGCTCCGACTGAGACTCCACCCTCCTCGCTCCTCACTCATCCCACCTCCTCCCTCATCCCTCCTCCCTCCTCCC